GAACATTTACGAAATCTTTACTGGCCGTTGTGCATCCAGATCCCACTTGTTCCATTCTCATCCTAATCTGAGTTTTAATTAGGGACAACCCATTCCTGTAGATATCGAAATGCCATTCGTCACGGGATTTACACGTGTCACCGTCGCGTTGGCCACTACCAGAGATAGTGTCGTGTACCGAATCTGTGAACGATGTTTCGCGAAAATCGGATGGTCTGATTGCGCAAAGTTGTAATTTGGGCAAGCTTCAGTATGTTCGATGATGGTCTTGGGTCGGGACTGGTCGCCCCTACACCTCACGAAATGCTCCTATATGACCAAGCGTCTCAAATAGCCTCCGCTTAGGAAGTCCTACTCCCTGCCTTCTTGTGGGGCAGGGGTGTTTCGCACCACAGTAAAATGAGGAAATGTCAGCATCCGGGACTATGAACTGGACACCAGCCCCCAGTGGACTGCGGTTTCCACTCACCGCCCCGCTACCTTGTGGCGGATCAGGCTTTGGTTATCCTAAGGCTTCGGTTGTGCACTTCCTAAAACAACGTTTCACCTGCCTTGGCCTGCTCAACCTAGCAGTATCGTGCCCTCGGGAAATCATGGACGTTATAAAGATTATTGTACCGTATCTTACTAATCTGGAATTGTGAAGCGATCACCAATTTGTGATCAATTTGTGCACGTCTATTTCGTTTTTTTTTGTTTTTCATCTGTCTTCTCGCACGTTTTCCCATCTGTATCGCCTGATCACAACCTCCCAGTCCAGTGACGATCTGATCTCGTCTGTTCAGCAACAACCGTGGGAACTGAGTGCCATCATATATGACGTGTGTTTTTTCATCATACTGGGCGCACTGGCCGTGGGTCAATTGACAATGCTATTCCGTGGACTCGGTCGTTGTGTGGACTATTTGAGCAAACGATTCTTCCTGGGCCAAAAATTGGCCGACATGGTTGTGGAAGATTGGAACAAAGTTCACATCGCTCGATACACACCGGATCAGGTTGAGTATTTGAAGGGTGGAACGGAAGAATATCGATTGCATGTGGAAGACTATCGTGAACTGCTTCGCTTGTTGACATTTGTGGACGAGCAAAGTTTCACTTGATTCGAATCAATCTCTTAGCATTCAGGCGATCCTCAGTCCCTAACCACACAATCCTATGCGTCATCAATACCGTCATAACAACAAAAAGTCATCACCACAACCATCATTGTAATCATCAACAAGTGCATCGTTTTTTTGACATGAACGCGTGTATTTTGACAAATGTGTCATGCTTTTAGAACGGAAGAAAACAAATTGACCGTGAGTTTGATCGGTCGAGCAGTATATCTGTTGCAAAGCAGTTAGAAATCACATAGGTAACCACTGTTCGTATAACCACATCATGTATGCACAATTCAAGGCGTAAAAAGTAGAACTGTTATTCAGCAACTGGCTACTTCAGTGCCTGTCAGTAGTTAGTGCAGACAAAGTACGCCGCGGAGTTAGAATGTTGGCTTAACACGACAGTGCCTTGTGTTGACAAGGGCGATAACTCAAACAGTTTTTAGTTGTATATTTTAAGACCAAATTGGTTCTTTTATCACAGAACGCGTTTCTGTACGACGCGGCGAATCTAATACTAAGTGTCATTGTTTTTGTTGTTGTTGATGTTGTTGTTCGACTGATTTTACCAAATAGCAGGAGTATTCGACTCACTCATGTGGACCAATCAATCGTTGGGCGGGCGGCAGGGGGGAATGCAGTTTGGAACGGCCTGGTTTATCGACGTTCTGAGGCTTAGAATATATGGCGAACAAGGTGGTGAACGCCGTAGTCCGTTTGAAAATCTTATCCAATACTGACCTATGCGATTCGTGACGAGGAGTATATCTGGGAACCAGTGTGATATTTTGGGATGAAATGATATTCCGTTCGGAAGTTTAACCGAGGACACAGTGAAACTGGACGACAGATGTGTATCGAGTTAAAGAACTCGTGGTAGCACGAAAGGATATTAAATTATTCTAAAGCGCACGAGAAAAAATAATGTCACCACATTCGGAATCAGCGGATGAATAATTCCGGGATTGATTGCACTTACAACCATTGAGACAGAGATTTCTGAGACAGACCTTGTCCGGTTAAATTTTAATTCACGTCTCTCGGGGTTTGAGTCACTTTTAGAGATTATCTTTTTTGATTTGGAGTTAATCTGAAACCGGTGATCGCGGACTGCATATTTCCGTTCTCTCACGGCAAAATGATTATCCCGTGGTATCCCCGAAGAGCGAATGCCTTTTTTTGAGACAGGAATTGATTGGGATAGGAGTGCTCAACAAACTCATTACTTATTCGACTTATTATTGACGGAGTTTTTGATAAGTTCGCTAAAAGTACGGTGATCCAGGTGATAGTAATACGTCCATCCGGATTACTCATTTACTGGTTGTTCCCTCGGGAAGTTCAACCGTTCATTATATACAGTACTGGCCGATTGTGATGCACTAAAATACTGTCTTTATGATCAAATGGACTTTCATTATATTTATCACTTATATAATAATGCTTTAGGTGTGGACAATAATTTATACCTTGTCTACTTCGATCTACGTAGTTTCTAGTCTATCTAAATGTTAATTAAATATGTCTGGCCTTGAGTGCCAAGATTAAATGATTTGAACATGAAAACCTCAAACTTTATCAAGTATCACAACGCAATATTTTCTAATAGGAATGATTCAAGAATTATCCTAAATTATTTCCATAAACCCTTGCCATCTCGATTATTTTTAATGAGACATTACTTTATCTAATATATAATCCATTATAACAACTCTATTGGATAACCAAATTAAATTCTTTCACAACCCGAAGAAATTGCACTAAATGGGGTTTCATAATAATAATCTATGTTTGGTATCTAACTCACTGAATTCGAGAAATACCATCTTAATCAAAGTCAACCTTGAAATCAAGGTCATTTTTGTGCACAGCTTTGCATGTTCGTATTGTTGTCACCATAATGAAGCAAGTAGCGCTCAGAACCAAAAGTTCTCGATATCTCAGTCAAGAGATCAAAAATAGAATTGCACGAGCACACAAGCTGGGATTTTCGACATCAAATCTTGCCCAATACTTTAAAGTTAACAAAAGCACAATTTACAGGATAATCCATGGGAAAACAACAACCTGAACAGCTTGTAGAGGCCGTGAACCGCGTACATCCAAACAGGAGGATGACCTAATTCGTATGACTCTGAAAAAACATTGCAGAAAATTGTTGTCGTCTATCCAACGGGAAGATCTTCCTCGCTATGCATACTCCCTTCTGCAAAGAAGAACGAACGAGATTAAGATGCGTCAGGTTTCAGCTGAAGTCAAGCCAGCATTGAACGCACAGCAAAGGCAGGCTCGTATTGATTTTGCCCGAGAATTCGAATCTCGTCGTGCGTCATTTTGTTGATCGGTTTTTTTCGCCGACGGGTGCATGGTGTGCGACGAGCCTTGGGAGGCTCGAAAAATCATCTGTGGTGAGAATTTCCCAAAAGAACTTATTTCACCAAATGAAACAGTTTCTCACCCATGGAGATTACTCATTTGGGTAGGGATAAAACATGATCAGCCTTGTCAGTGGACATCAGTCAAAGGTACCATGAAGTGGGAAATTTGCATCAGTAATTACGAGAATGTTTCAAGAATTTCATGAAAAAAATCGTCTGGAAAATTTCAGGAAAACTCTCCGTGCCATGTTTCACGAGAAGCAGTCTGATTCTCTGATTATTTGCTTTTAAACTTCAGAAAAGGTGCGTGACTCTAAGGTCCAGTTCATGCAACTTCCCCCTCCCCAATAGCCCGGATTTCAATGTGATTAAAAATCTGTTTTCTGATTTAAAGAGAGAGGTCAATGTGCTACCTATGAATTGGATATTGGAGGCAAAGTGCGATATGTATTGGAGCCAAAAATAGAAAATGACTTCATAACAAATTTGCTGGATTCGATGCCGAAGAGATTCGAAAAAGTTCTAAGGAATAGAGGCAGACCAATCGCTTATTACTACACACAAAAATTGCGGATTATCAATGTTAATTTGTTGTTAATAAAAAAACTGTTTCATTCTCTTTAGTTAACCCTAAACTCATTATGGTCTAGGTCAACCACTACTGACGAAACGGGAGTATCCGCTACATTCTGAACCATTCCATCTGCTGCGTGTAAACGAANTTTAGTTAACCCTAAACTCATTATGGTCTAGGTCAACCACTACTGACGAAACGGGAGTATCCGCTACATTCTGAACCATTCCATCTGCTGAGTATAAACGGATCACAAAAATCACGGCTATAAGGAGATTCATCAAGACTTGGAAAAAAAGATTTACTTCAGTATAAATGCTGTTGCTGTGTTTAACTGGGACCCGTTGCTTCAGTTTCGGTTAGACCTGTATAATACTAGCATGCTTAACTTTCTTAGTGCATGCTATTCGAAAAATTGTGTTCACTAAAAGCCCATTTGATTGTCATTAGTGAATAGCAAAATGAAACTTGAACGTTTTTCCCCTATGGGTCGCACCCGGAGCGTGGGGATGTAGCTCAGTGGTAGAGCGTTCGCTTTGCATGTGAAAGGCCCCGGGTTCGATCCCCGGCATCTCCAGACTTTTCCGGTCCGGCAAACTAT